AAAGACTTTTTGGGGAGTGTTGCTGGAGTGACAGTCCTTGGCCAGATATAAATCTGGGTCGTTCCGGTTACGTAGACCCGACTGTCGTGGCGCTGTAACCTCCTAAGCGATTTTGGCCGAGTTCAGCAAAGCACGTCTGTGCCAACTGACGCCAATTGGAAATACCAAGTGAAGCCAAGTCCTTCTCCACTTGGTCTTTCCATCTCCTCTTTCTTGGATTTCCATGCTGACATTATTATCGGCGTTAATGTTGGTTCCAAGGCACATTAAACAGGTAGTATCAGTAGAGCAAAAACAACATTTGCGTGTATTTTGTTGTTGCTTCTGGTATCGAAAGTGTCAAAACCTGTTCTGAATTTTTTCTTCTAAATCAAAGCGTGCCATGTGAAATACAAAAAATTATAAAAAATAAAAAATTGAAATTGGAAAAAATAAAAATTGATGCAAGTAAATTTGTTTGATTCTCGAAGCATTGATCCATCCTTTGCAAGGCCCAGTAATCAGCGGTCGTGCTGCCGAGTTGGGCGAACGATCCAAAAGCTGCTATTCAATCGCTTGTTTTGTATGGAAAAAGGTTTCACAAGCAAATGGATTTTAACAACTTATAATTTTCGTGAGAAAAAATTAAAAATATTTGACATTTTCGAGACCAAATAATTTGAAAATAAATCAAATCAGCTGCTCTACTGATACTACCTGTCCAATGTACCTTAGTTGGTTCCCAAGTAAACGAAGTTCTCAACTTTTTCGAAATTATAACTGTCAACAGTGACGTGGGTGCCATGGCGCGAATGTGCTGACTGTTTGTTTGATGACAGGAGACACTTCGTCTAGTGTTCGAAAAGGCAGAATAGACTTCGCGGTTTTTGTTACCGATGATGTCGATGTCATCGGCATAGGCCACCAATTGCACGCTCTTGTAGTAAATTGTTCTTGAGCGGTTCAGTTCTGCAGCACTTATTATCTTCTCCAACATCAGATTAAAGAAGTCACATGAAAGAGAGTCGCCCTGCCTGAAATCCCGTTTGGTGGCGAACGGCTCGGAGAGGTCTTTCCCAATTCTGATGGAGCTGGTGGTATTGCTCAACGCCATTTTACACAGCCGTATCAGTTTGACGGGAATGCCAAATTCAGACATTGCGGCGTATAGGCAACTCCTTTTAGTGCTGTCGAAAGCGGCTTTGAAGTCGACAAATAGGTGGTGAGTGTCGATTCTTTTCTCGCGGGTCTTTTCCAAGATTTTTCGTATTATGAGTACCTGGTCTATGGTGGATTTTCCAGGCCTAAAGCCACACTGATAAGGCCCAATCAGCTCATTGACGATGGGCTCCAGTCTTTCACACAATACGCCCGATAAGACCTTGTAACCTATGCTTAGAAGGCTGCTTCCGCGGTAGTTGGTGCGAATGGCGGGGTCGCCTTACTTGTGGAATGGGCAGAGCACACTTAAATTCCAGTCGTCGGGCATGCGTTCATTTGACCATATTCTGCATAAGAGTTGATTCATGCACCTTATCAACTTCTCGCCACCGTACTTGACTAGCTCAGCTGGCAGGCTGTTCAGCCGCGTTACTGCTATTCGTACCTCGTCATAGTCAGGCGGGGGAACATCGACTCCGTCATCATCGATTGGGGGCTCGGGTTCTTCTTCTCCACAACTTTCCGTGCTGCTACCATTCAGTAGGGTGGAAAAGTGTTTTCTCTATAATTTAAGTACGTTCTGGACAGCGGTCACTAGGTCGCCATTATTGTTTTTACAGGAGTACGCTCTCGTCTTGAAACCTTCCGTAAGTCGCCTTACTCTGGTAAAGTTTTCGGGCCTTCTTCCTGTCGGCCAGCAATTCAAGCTCTTCGCTCTCACGTATTTCGGCCTCTCTCTTCTTATTGCGGAAAATACGTATCCTTCCCTCTTCAGATCCCTATAGTGGTCCCGCAGCCCGCTCTGCAGCTTCATGACACTTCTAATCGTACCAGTTGTTCTTTCGGGCTCGCTAAAATCCGACTACTTCTTCGGAAATGTGGTTCCACTGCTTTCATATGTCGTTTTGTTGAAGAGTGCTCTCTGAGAGCAGGTGTGAGGGTCGAGTAGCGAATGCATTCGCTGTCTGTTGTGATTGCAGTTTTTCAACAGAGGCGGGTGCCTATTTTGGCTATAACAAGATAGTGGTCCGGGTCGATGTTTGGGCCTCGGTCTGTACGTACGGCCAAAACACTGGAAGCATGCCTGCCGTCTATCACAACATGATCGATTTGGTTTCTCGTTTTTCGATCCGGAAACAGCCACGTAGCTTGATGCATCTTTTTATGTTTGAACCTAGTACTGCATACTACCACGTTTCGTTGTCGGACGTTTCCTCGTGGAGGCTGAATTTTCCGACGGTGGTTCCAAAGATCCTTTCCTTGCCCATCCTTGGCATTGAAGTCGCCAAGCACGATTTTGATATCGTGGTGGGGGCAGCGCTCGTACATGCGCTCCAAGCGCTCATAGAAGAGATCCTTGGATACCTCATCCTTCTCTTCCGTCGGGGCATGGGCGCAAATGAGCGAAATTTTGAAGAATTTCGCTTTGATACGGATTATGGCTATATGCTCGTCCACCGGGTGAACGACAGTACTCGAATTTGCGCTCCTTTACATGACAACTGTAGTATACGTCGAAAGGCCCCAGGCATTGCTTGCCTTGCCACGTCCAACGCATTTCTTGGATGGCGGTAATGTCAGCATTGCTTATATGTAGAATATCAAAATTTATAAACGCCGAAAAAATCTGCACTAAATTTCCCTCCTTGGAAAATTTTACAATTCCCATGCTCAAAAAATTTAATAACGAGTTGAGAATTTGCTTTTTCTCAATATGAGAAACAAAAATATTTTTTTATTTATAAAAAACGCTGTGTACCGAGAAAGAAATTTCGTAAAGAGGCTAGATTACTCTTTTATAAATAGAATTAATATTACATCTTAACACCGAAATATTTTGGATGTGTTTTGTAATAGAGTCGCCACATTTTCAAAATTTATGTTAATCAACTTTTTCTGTTTATGTTAAATAAAATATAACAATTGGGCATTGATATGAAACTAGAATTATATTTATACCAAATTCATAAGTTGTTCGTTAAACTGAAACTGATGATTTAGTTAAAATTTGGCAGGAATATTGACCATTCCTGAGATGTAATTTGTAGCCCAGAATTTCCAGGAAACGGAAATATCGCGACATAACTTTATGGTAGCATTTGGTATAACAGATTAGGGAGCAGCTGCAATATTTGATAGCATATCGTTGTACCGTATATGGCACGATCGGGGCCGTGGGAAAAAGCTGGTGTAAAAATAAAATTTCATTATTTGTCCAATAATAGAGCGCATTTTTGTATAGTTTACAATCACATGAAACAAATATGTAAGTACATATGTATGATTTCACAAAGCAACGTGTTCAATCGATGGAAGAAAAATGCTGAAGTAAACAAATTTACACTGAATGAGCATTCAGATGAATAAAACACTTGTGTGTGCAGTTTCAATTCAAATTATGTATACACCATGATACAATAATTTTTAGAAGGTAGTTTCACTTCTTCTTCTTATCCGCCATGTTAGCTATCTGACAGAAAACGTGTTTCGTATTTTTTGTTGTACCAACTTTTTCAAAAAAAAAAAAATCCAGCTTTTGACGTTGGAAAAATAAAACAAAGAAAAGCCAAACATATAAGTAGAGAAATTTTCGAATATTTTGTAATAATTTTCTTCATAAAAAATTAACTGCTGCTTTCGTGGATATTGCAACACACGGAATAGATGTAAGGACACAGCTATAAGAGCCACCGCAAACCACAGACTTTATCGGCCGCCTATTTAAATGATAGGGCTCGCTTGAAATATGTACATGAAGATGTATGGAGGTCCGCACATTATGCAGCGTTTTTGCTGCATTTAAAATGCAACATTTAGCACTTTCGAACATATGTTTTCGAAGAGCGTTCATGCTATAGCATTTAGCAAATGTACATTTACGCGAGTTCGAAATCGTATGCTTTTGACAAACAGCCGTGTTCCAGTCTCTTATTTAGATGCGTATATATTACGATCAATTCTCACGCAGAAGATAATGTGCAAAAACCCTACTGAAAAGGAAAAAATAAATTTTAAACCAAAAATTCAATACAAAAACTTGAATTGTTTTAACCATAAACGAACATTTGTTTGTGTATATATTTATTTGTCGGTGCATTCAATTAAAATTTCCTCACTTAATTAGGAAACAAACCAAACAGAGTTGATCACAAATTGATCCAGATTTCTATCAGTATCAAATCGATGTTGAATTTGCTTAACTTTTCTTTATCCAAATATGTAATGCAAAATAAAAGAAATCTCGATCGGCGATCACTGAAACGCAGCTAGCAACTGTATACTCGAAAAAGCAATGTTGCCACTTTTTCTCTTTAAACCATGTTCGAATCGTGGAAATTTTGGAAGATCACAGGGTTGCTTTTAGCATTTAGATTCTTAATGCAAAAATGTAGTTGCATTTAGTTGCATTTAGGTGACGAATTTTGTATGGATAAATGTACATTTAGAGTAGCATTTAGAGCTAAATGCGCTAAATGTGCTTTTACGCGTAAGCAAAAACAGCCTATTACACCAGCTTAATCGCTCTGACCAATAGGTTGTGGTGCAATGGAAAGACTAGCGAGCACATCTAAATTGGCGGCCGATAAAGTCAATGGTGTGCGATGGATCTAATCCATTATAAACAGGAAATATTGCTGTCATATTTTCATTTTTATGATTTTTATTATATTTATATTAAAAATTAAGTGATCAGTTATGAAACATATAAATCTTTACATGTTCTGTTAAAAAATATCTAAAATAACAAGCGATAATCCCCAAGTTCTATATCGTAGCAGTAGCCACATTGCTCGTTTGTCACAGACACGGTTTATGTCAAAAATTTTGAAGTGAAACTACCTTCTAAAAATTATTGTATCATGCAGCGATGTATTCTAGCATTCTTGGCCAACACGTTCCAAAAGTGCCCAGAGCGTGTGGAACGCAAAAAGCCACATTTCGTGCCCGTAATCGACATATCAGCTCTAAACAATGATTTTACGTGTATTTATCTTATATGGTTAATAAAATTACCAAATAACTACATTTTCTGAAAATTCTGTGATATTTTCCACTTTTGTTTTTATTAAATTTGCTTTCGGATTTAAACAACAACAGCTGTTATTTCAAATTGCCCGTTTGTACATTTGTGCCCGGAAAAAAAGGCCGCGCTGTTTCGTGCACAATGAAGAAGACGTTTACGATCCAAAAGTGAAAAGTATTCGCTCTCTTTTACCCATTTTTTTTCGTGAGGAACGCTTTCTGGGGTGTTTAAACACCAAATTTAGGCACCCGCGGGCTCGTGTGGAACAAACCTAAACATGCGATATCAGAGGCGTAGTCGTAACTTTCCTACAAGAAAAGGACCTTTTTTCTGACCTCTTCACTAACACACTAAAATATACACCAATACACAGAAAAACACTTGTAAAAATAACCGTAGGAAATACAATAAGTAGAAAAGAGACCTTTTAGCACTGCTGGTAAAACCGCCATGTGAGAAAGGGACGCATAGTCACATGTACACAAAAGAAGTGTCTAGGAAACCGGAAAACCCCAGATTCATATCTGGTTAAGGACTCACACTCCAGCATCATTCCCCAAAAAGTTTTTATGTCGCTACAACAACAGAATACTGGAATTCATTTCGTTAATATTAACAAAGCCAATAGATTCTAAGTAAACAAATTCATGATATGTATATATCGCACACCGTCTTCAAAAGAGTCACAACTCAAAATTTGGCATTTTTGAGATTATGCGCTAAAAATGTACACGCGAGCTTTTATTTACCTTTCAGCAAAATCTGGAGCAAATTTTTGTTCTAATTTGTTAACAAAACTTAAGGTAAAGTCGCACTTGCCCATAGGACTATCATGTGCTAAGAAATAGTTTTTCGCATTTTCTGACAAACGTAGTATTTTGAGTTGTGACTCTTTTGAAGACGGTGTGCGATATATATTGAATAAATAAAACACATTATGTCTTTTTTGCACAAATATCTTGTATTTATAAATTAAAATTGTTTTAGAATTTTTATTTTTCACAGTATTATAATACCAGTTTTGATTTATTATGTAAATAATTTGTTCGGCACAAACAAATCTCAAACTAATGTTGGGCGTTTTTATTATTTATATTGTTTTTTTTTTTTCAATATTTATGATTTTAACAAGAGTTTTTCAATGCTAATTCAAAAGCT